AGTGAATTCTAAATGGACCTATAGGACCAAAAATATCAACCATTTTTCTAGCCTTTTTAATTTTATCCTTTGCCACGACTAGAGAAGTACCAGCTGGTAAATATTTCTGAACCTTCGTATTTAACTTATTTCGTGCCCTCTTCTGCCCTTGTTCTATTAATTCGTTGAGACGATTGATTACTGCTAAGCCAAATTCATAATAGCAATAGATGGCATAGGAATCAGCCTTGCTAACTTTTCGAGATAATTTTCGTAAAATTGTTGAGGGCTGATCCTGAGGGATTACTTCTGATGAATTGCTATCAATTTCCATCACTTCAGTTGACACTCAAGTATAAAAGCTAACAATTTTTCTTCTCTACTCATATTTTTCCAACCAAGTCGTTCAAGCTGTTCGATAACATCGCTTCAGCACTCTGGACATCGTTCTTTGCGGACTGAAGATGCATTGCAACAACTAATATGAAAAGTATGACCATATTGGAACATCACATGTGAGTTTATAATTTTCCTTTTGCAAGCCAAACAAGGTTCAGCTCTCTGGGGGGGTTTAGAAAAAAGATCGGGGGCCACTCTATGATCCAAACTCATTAGAAGTAATACGATTAATTCCTGGAACGCCATAAAGGCAAAAAAAGAGTTTATGTTAGTCTATTTATACTTCATGGTAAGGGTTGAATTGATAAGCCGGGTAAGAAAATATGGTAGCATACCGTATCATATGATAATCGTGAAGATTCTTCTCACTTGCAACCAATAGAAGCAGGATCTACGGCTAATAATGTGATATACGAAATTATGATCTACTGTGTTATATGCAATATGGCCTATTAAATAAGCGATTAGCAAAAAATTAATTTTCTCTTTTTTATTTGTGATCGGTTATTATTACATTATAAGGGAATATGTGTAAAAAATACATGTGAAAATAAATCAGGAGTTTTACTATAGCTTGTAATACATGCTATGTCATATGATAACCGTGAAGACTCTTCTCACTTCTAGCCAATAGAAATATGGAATCTACCGGCTATGACGTATATAGCGCAATGTATGCAGGTTCGGAAAAAAGAAACAGCTAAAAGCTCGGCAAGAATTTTCCCGATATCTTATGCGCATATCAGGTGATCGGTCTCACATAACGGAGTTTTCGTCTATGCTTTTACAAATACTATTGGGATGTTAGGATTAAGAGCTTCCCTGCATTCGAGCTAATAAGTTCGTTCTCCGTAATATTCACCAGCACCCCATTCACCTCTTATATCATTCCATATACTTTTTTCTTTATGCTCCAGTATACTGCAGAGTGTTGAACTATTAAGATTAAATCACTCACCACGTTCACTACTATCGCTTAAAGATAGAGAAGGAAAATGCTCTAACACTAACCCAATGATATGTTTTCATTTCTTTTCGGAATCTTCAGGCAAGATAGAAATCGGGAGTTGAGATTTATTAGATTTATTTATCTGACTAGAAGAAGTTGTGGATGATACACTTACTTGTGATTTGACTGATGGAGTATCTTTGCTAACTGTACTCATATTTACATTGGGTAATTTTTTCGGGACAGACTCATGACTTTTCTCAAGTGGGACTTTAGGTCTCACTTTTTTTATTCACCATACATCTCTATATCCCACGAAAATATACTTGATACAATGTATAGCATTTTCGGCTTGAATTCTTCATTGATGTGGTAAATAAATTACTTAATTCTACTTATGTTATTTGTCTTTAAAATCCTGAACGAAAGTCGTCTATTAGCTTATTAGCTCAAAAGACACTTATATTTCATTGCAATGTACAGTTACAATCAAAAAAAAAACATTACATACCTTTTAAAATTAATGCCTCGTCCAGAACATTCATCTCCCACAGCAATTCTTCATATTGCAGTATGTCATGAATAGGCGTTCTTTTGGTGGTCCTATTACATAATTTATTTTAGTTCGGGAAATACATTACGCTTCAGAAAATGTTGGTGCGAATAAGTGGCTTATGTGTGAAATTTGCAATGAAAAATCTGGGTTGAAAAAATATTAGTGGTACAAACACAAATCCTGGCAAACATATCTTATTTATTTGTCTTTGCAAATAGGTATTACTTTATTAAACAATGTAAAGCATGCAAACATACTATAAAAGCAAACCATTACAATAATAATGAATTGATTTTTTTCTTAAAAAAACCTATTTAACATTATCACGCGAATGTTACTGTGTCACATGATTTTAAAACATATAGCGATCTAATAAATTTGATAATTCAGATTCCTTATCATAGAACTGCCTCCTATCATTAGTTATAATTGATATTCCAAAATCAATTATATAAATTTTACCTTTTTCGTTAACTAAGATATTTTCTTGTCGAATATCATTGTGAAGAATGCCATAACTATGAATCGCCCTTAATGCTTCGAGAGCCCTATTCCTTTGATTACGATCTATCCTATGGTGATACAAATTAGTACCAACCATAGTTATACCCATAAAATAACCCATTCCATATCCATAGTAACCATAACATACCAATTTTAGAATATACTTCCCTTGAATTTCCATAAGAATTTGGTAGATGTTAATTTCTTTTTTAACTTTACGCAGAAGATCAGCTTCCTTAAATAGATCTATAGCCTTCATAGCAACTGGCTCTCCACAAATAATAGCTTTAAATGTCCTTCCAGTTTGTCCACTTTCTAAAATACCCTCAATCTTAATCTCTTTATAACCATAAGTCCGTTCTTGTGTTTCTGCTGTGTAATTTTGACCACTGATGCCTAAACCTGAACTATCACCAGAACCTTGCTGACCATAGCCCAACTTTGACTTTGATAATTGAAACTTTGATTATTAGAACCTAAGTTTTGGTTTTGATCTTGTCTGGTTCGTGATTTAATTATATTAGGATAAGAAGATTTAGGATTAATATTTGCCAGGTAAACTAAGTATGCATAAGTTTTGATCACTGGCGGACTTGTTGATTGAAGTGAAAGAACATCTGAAATTAATAGTGTTGATGGATCACTGCTTGGACGGCGGAAAAACCAGTGGTGGTCATAGCTTGTAAGTATACCATATTGCAATTCATCCACAATCATATAGTTGTAAAGCTGTTTAATTACGTTAATTAAATCGCCATTTGCACAGCCAGTAAAATGGCTACCTTCATAACTGAATAATTCATCTAAATTGGTCTCATATAACTGTTTTACAACAATATCTCTTTTGACTTTGATTTCAATGATCCTTCTTCCTTCAGAATCATCAGAATCTTTATATTTTCGACAAGTAAAATCTGGTAGCCCAGTGCCGATGTTTGGATCATCGTGATTAAAATATGAATCCTTTTGTTTCAAAAACTCAAATTTTGGAAGTAAGAACTGGTTCAATATACGAAAAATATTAACTTCAAGAGCTGTTTCAATGCTCTTTTCAACACGAGCACTCAAACCATTAATGAATTGTGGTTTTTCTAACTTTAGCATTTGACATATGTTGCTTTGATTTAAGTCGAACCTAGTTGCTTCATAAAAAAATTCATTCCAACGAGTTATTCTTGATGGCCAGAGACCACCACTATTTGCTGAATGTAACGTAGTACTAGCATCAGGAGGATAATCGATGACTGGCAGAATACTTGATGCATATATATCTGAATCCAGAAGTTCTAAAAACAAAAAAAATGAGTTAAGTAATTATTTCGAAAATATTGCAGCGAAAGACGTCCGTTGAATAACACGCGTTGACCAAATTTATTACGACTCAGAATAAGTAAGTATTCGGTATTATATGATTATAAAAGACAAGCAAAACATAGAAACGAGTAATAAATACTACGAAAAATAGCTGTGTTGAAAGACGTCTGTTGAATAACACTCCAAATAAACTATTTCACAGAACTTACTTTGACTATTTAACTGGGTGACGAACTCCGCAATGTTTGTGGCTGGAGCTCTTCTTAATTTCATTTGCAAAAGATCCTCTTTAGTTACCAGAAGAAACGCTCTACCATTATATCCTTCTTTCTCAATTTTACTAATTTCAACATCATTAAGAGAAAAAAGATCTTTATTGTTTTCTAAATAATTTTTAACATTCTCTACAGTCCAATTATTAACTGTTTCGAAAGATAGAGTAGAAGTAGACATGTTATTTTTTATTTTATATTGAAGTGGGACGAAGCAATCAATAATTGTACAGTTTCAAAAAAAAGAAAAAATTTGCATAGGATTTGGAATATATATAAGAAATCTGCTGTCGCACAAATAAGTCAGATGACTTTATTAAATTATTTTCAGAAATATGATGCTATCAAAGAGGGAAAATCCTAGGCCATTTAATGCAAGTCCCAGCATCAAGTTATTTCTTTGCTCTCTTACATTTTTTACTAAAAGTATCTATAACTAATTTGTTTATACTTCTATTGTTAATTACGTTCACATAATTCCATTCCGCCTCATACACAAGAAATTTATTGCTTAATTTTTTCTGCGTTATCGTCGGTACGATACTACGCAAAGTTTTAAGAATCTGACACGTGAAGATGCTTATATAAGATAAATTTTTTGATGCACTGTGCCAGACTTTTGCTGTGCCGTTGCATATGACGAGATTTATGTGAGTAATTTCACTGCATCTATTGTGCGCGTGATGATGGTCAGTGATTTTTTCAGCGAAGATCAGAATGCCGATACATAGCAAGAAGAGTAATATATCCATTTTATTTTGGAACATCTATAGAGACAGGAAAATCGATTAACATCGTGATGACATGTCTCAAGAAGCTAACCGAGCAATAAAATCAACATACCTTATTATTGTTTTGTGGAATATAGGAGTTTGTTTGATCAAGGATATTATAATGATGTAAATAATGGTATGTTAGATTGGTTTTGATTTTTTCGTTTTACTTGTACAAGGTGGATAAAAGGATTCACTAACCAGGTCATCACCTTTTTATATAATTCACAGAATCGATTTTGTTATATGCTTTTGGGGAA